TTTTTTTCACTTCAAGGTTTTTTGTGGCGCTTGAGCGCCATAAAGGTGGCGCTTGAGCGCCATCTTCCTGTTGAAATTTCTACTTTATTCTCCGGCGCTTGAGCGCTATCTCCGGGCGCTTAAGCACCATATTTCTGCTCCATTCTTCCTCTATTTTGCTCCAAAAACCATTTTTCGTTATTTTAACATTCCTTCAACCAAAACACTAGCAAACACATTAAATTTGTTCTATAATCAACAGATTAAACATACAAATGAAGCTTTATTGGTATAAAATCTGTGTGCAAAACACACTAATCATGCATGTAACTCAACCAAACATTTACCTTCCTTTGAGTCGATGAATATCTGCATGCATTATAAACACACAACTATCTTTATGTTCCAAATAAATTAGCTTAGATAAGAGATCTTACTTTAGCAACATGTTGTTTCAACTAATAAATTCAGAATATTAGATAACCGAAATAAATTTTAGTAACAAAATATGAATTTGAATTGTTAATAACTTATTCTTTTATTTTTATCTTTATTTTTATTTTGTCTTAACAATGAAAAGAAATTCGAAACTTGGAAAGGGATGCAGAGTCCGGTTAGGGCGCTGATAAAAGGCACCGCATGCGCCTGCAGTGGTTGTCGAGGCGTCGTATTGTAGTGCCCAGTGCTACGGTGCTACTGTAATGCGGAACAAATGCCAAAAAATTCATATTTTTGAAATCAGGGATTTGAAATTCACATCCCAAATTTTATAAAACTAAAGTTTGAGTTTCAACCCTAAAAATCTTCATTTAATCTCAATGGTTCAACATTGATTGATTCTGATACCACTTATTGAATTTTTATGAAACTTAAACTTTATACAACATCATGAATTGTCAAAATCTCCATGTTAAATCAATAAGAAAATTACTTGATGCAGACATACATTCCTCCATTGATTTGTATCTTGAATATTGAATTTTGAAGTTTTAATTGCAATCCTTTAATCTTGGTTTCTTGTTCTTTATGGGGGTTTTGCATTTTTCCTATCCAATATACTTTCTCTTTTAATTCTTGTGTTGATATGACACAAAGAATAAGAAAATTGCATATGAATTGATGATCATAACTCTATATATAGTTTCTACATGTATTCGGTCAATCGTCAAATACAACCCTAATGGATCCGATCTCTACGCATATAATTCGACACACTCTTCAGTTAGATGCTCAAAACTCAATCACTTAATTCTTTATTAGATCACTTTAATTTTGGACTTAACTTTAAAATAATATTTATACACAATTAATTACATATGTCGACTTACATGACAAGTTAGTATTTTCCCCAACACTTAGGACAACCGTCTGCGTTGATAACCTTTACAGTTAAATATAGCTCGGTTTCTAATGGGCGCAACTCGTTGACCTTGGTGAATTGCATCTTCTTTTGTGCAGCTTTAAGACGGTAGAATTCCAACTCACTTCAGCATCTAAATTATGCAATTTATCACTACAAAAAATAGGGACAGAAAACCAAAATTGTATGCAAGCTCTTTATGATACCGAAACATGTGTTAGCATTTACATTCTCAACTCAATTCAATCTCATTGAGTTCTTCGGAAATTAAAACCAATATTTAGTCTATGTTCTCCATTGATCTATTTTAACCTTTTTTTTTTAATTTTTATGTTTGCATACTTTGCGACAATGAAAAAATATGTTGTCGCACTTTTACATTTATTGTTTATCTTTTTAAAATATAATGGACAAATAAGTTGATTAAAGCCATTCGAACAGACTTTTAGGACGAAAACTGATACTAAATGTGATATTTGCTAATTAATTGATTTTTCAAGATAAGAATTGTCGAAAAAAAGTTAGGATATAAGTATTATAATAAGTAAAGATTAAGAATGTTTGGTAAAATTAAAATTTGGTATAGTTAAAGTGCGGTTGGAATACTACCCCCTATGTCCAAGATTCAATGAATTGGCGGCTTTCTCTGGTGTGATCAAACGGACAAGTTTAGTGCTTCATTTCATAATTCATTTAAATTATTATTATTGTTATTATTTTTGGCTAGAAACTAGAGTTGAGAAAAAGGAGAAAAATTCGGATACCAATTTTGTCATACACCAAAGGTTAAGTTGGTTGCATCCCCCCTCGAATTCCTCTCCTCTACACACTACCATATTTCACTCGCAAATTTATTTCCACAAAACCACCAAAGAACACCTTTTTTCCTAGCTTTCTTCGCAGCTCTCTTTCTCCACCACCACCAGGATCCTCCGCCGTCGTCCTCCACCTTCATGCAAATAATGGCATTGCCCCTTCTTCTTCCTCTTCTTCTTCTCCCATTGTTAGCTGAATCTAAACTCAGCCTAGACTACTACCAAAAAACATGCCCCGACTTTCCAAAGATCATTCGACAAGTTGTTACGGATAAACAACTCTCTTCCCCCACCACGGCCGCTGGCGTCCTCCGCGTCTTCTTCCACGATTGCGTCGTGGGCGGCTGCGATGCATCCATCCTTCTCTCGTCCAACTATGTCAACGCGACCGAGCGAGACAACGACATCAATCGGTCCCTCCCGGGCGATGCGTTCGACCTCGTTATACGTGCCAAAACTGCCCTTGAACTCCAGTGTCCCGGCATCGTCTCGTGTTCCGACATTCTAGCGGAAGCCGCGCGGGATTTAGTAACGATGGTCGGCGGCCCGTTTTATCCGATTCGACTAGGGAGAAAAGACAGCCGGGAATCGAAATCCACCGATGTAGAAGGCCACATTGCACGAGCGAACATGTCGATGACACAAATAATCGACATTTTCGCAGGAAAAGGGCTTAACATTCAAGAAATGGTGGCATTAGCTGGTGCACACACTATTGGATTTTCACATTGCTCGGAATTCAGCAATAGAATATTCAGTTTCAGCAAAACTTCACAGATTGATCCATCAATGAATCCTCAATATGCAGAAAGGTTACAAAAACTATGCGGAAATTATACGAAGGATTCAACAATAGCAGCCTTTAATGATGCAATGACCCCAGGAAAATTTGATAACATGTACTATGTGAATTTGCGTAGGGGCTTGGGATTACTGGCTTCGGATCAGGCTATGGCTTCTGATCCTAGAACAAAACCATTTGTGGATCTATATGCAGCAAATCAGACAGCATTTTTTGATGCATTTTCTCGTGTAATGGAGAAGGTGACTGTTTTTAATGTTAAGACGGGAAATAAGGGAGAGGTGAGGAGGAGATGTGATGCTTCGAACGGATTACAATCCAATGGGAACCCGACGAATGCCAACACCAAGCATTAGCTGCGGCCATGGCCAGCTCCCATACTGCCAGGCATTTTGTACAAGGCTCGGGAACAAATTCACCTCCGTAATATAAATAGAATTGGTGATGAAGCCATTTACTAGGCTTTTTATTTTTTTATTTTTGGTAAAATCAAAATTTGGCGTTAGGAAGTTTTGGTGCCCATTTCTTGGCAAGATGTTTCAATGTATTACCCAAATATAGGAGGGTTAATTGAAATTTGAAATTCAACTATGTTTTGGGCTATTTTAGAATAAAACTCCATAGAGGAATTTGGAAGTAGCTTCTACATTCGTAGAGTCCATAGAATCTCTAGTAAAACTTCTTAACGAATTATATGTAACGTGCTCATTATGTTTTTATGTATTCAATTAAATTAACGAATTATATGTAACGTGCTCATTATGCTTTTATGTATTCAATTAAATGTACGTGAATTGTCAGTGAACCTTTAGGTTCAACATAACGAAATGTAAACTCTATTGGGTTCTTTATAACAAAATGTAAAAATCTTTCGAAAGTTCAAAATACTCATGATGGATGTCTCGCTCCACACTTTTATTTTGAGTTTGTAATTTGTATGGATACTTGATACGATGAACATGATTTTAAAGTTTTCTTAATAATATTGAACGATACTAATCCTCCCTAGCAAATATGTCGTTCTTGTGTTCAATGTGCAACTCGTAATGGCAAGAACATGACACAATCCCGTGCACAAAGTTTAACCATATTAGCAAGCATTACTCCAACTCACCTCCGACATTTTTCCAACTATTGCAAGTTAAAAACTCAAGTTGATGAAAAGAGCTAAATAAATAAATTAAGCAATTTACAAGCACGACAATGAAGATCTTAAAAGGAATAGATTACAAGGAATGGATTTCAATACTTTTTAAGTTGTAATCTTTACAGGTATCACAATTCCAAGAGACCGGCAACCTTAAAAATTCGCAATTTGAAGAATAAAACCTGGTGTCAGCAAGGATTCCCAAAATTTCTTGCATGATTTTGAATGTGTGGCTACGAGGTCACGAGTTTTGACAGTTCGACTCAGCACCGGTGGGCTGATTACAGGAGAAACTCTGGTGCAAACGAGCTAAAGAAAGATATTCATTGAAAATATTAGATATACAAAATTACCACCTCATTCAGCAAGGCTTCCTTTTGTCCACCTTCAAGTGGAGATTGTACCATCTTTTCTTCCTCGACCAGTCCCTAAAAGGTTTCTTGTTACTTCCTTGCCCCTCGTCACTTTCCTTGAATGTACCCTTGTTCTTGCTTCGACTACTACCACTTCGCTTTATTTGTGGAGTAGTTGTGTAGGAAGCATGTATTTCATTTCTCTGTTTAAGAAGCTCGTCAATCTGCAATTTCAACAAGAACCATAGGTTTCATAATGGGCTAAGAATAACGATGCACCAATTTTAATTACTTGCAACTTTTGCAACGGACTGACTTACAGCTTGCATTTCTCGTGTGTATCTGCTCGTCATTTCAGTAAATTGTGCTAGAACCTGTCAACACAATGCAGAAAATAATTAAAATGCAAACTTTTCATGTACAATATAATTTATGGACGAGAACATACCTCCTTATATTCGGTTTCAAACTTAGAGAGTTCCACCCTTTTTGACAAGATTTGGGCTTCCACAGTTCTAAGGTTCTCTTTTTCTTCCATGAAAGATGCAGCACAAAGAGCTTCTATGGTGTAGCTTGCGCTCTTGAAAAAATTATCACCTACACAAACAGGAGCATTTAGATTTATATTTTTAAGGTTCAGCGATATATGCAGACAACTTACAAGGAAAAAGAGGTACCATAAACAGCAAAATAATGGGTGCCAGACTTTAGTTCGTTTATTTCACATGGCTGGAATCCATCCAGCTTCTTGAAGAAAGCTGCATCTGGATCCTTTGCTGCTGCCACCTGAATCGGGCTCAACGAAACAACAAATGCTGAATGACATGAAAGGATGACTACAGACTTAAGAAGGGAAAAGTGGTCGAACAAATTATTTACTCACTGAATTCTGTGTTTGGTCCATTCGATATACAGGGAATCCAAGAAAATACATCCCAGCGGATGTAACCTTTCCCGTTTTTGCACTATCCTCCTACACAGGAAAAGGCAATATATGATAAGGAGCTATAATCATGAGACAACATGCATTAAGTATCAAAATAATACAGAATATGAAAAATATCCATCATTATGGCGCATGCTCTGTTAAATTGATAATGTTTACAAAGACAATGATAAATTAGTGTTTCAACCTGCAGAAGAAGGCTTAATCCACCATTTTCTTCTTGATCAAAATACAATAGCTGCAAAATAAAGGGACAGAGTAAAACTAATAAGATGTATTTTCAAATGAAATAAAACCACTAATCACCAAGATTGAAGAAAAAGAAAATCATATTGTACCTATGAAGAAAGCAGGAGGAAAATAATGAACTTGGAAAATCAGCCAAACAGGGACACAAATCAGCCATTCAAAATCAAAAGGCACAAGCATGCATCTTTTCTTCAGATAACTCGAAAAATATGAGTATAGATACTGTCTCATATTATAATTTTCTTCCGTGAACGAAACTTAGTAATGAACTAGTGGGGATAAAATCTTTAATTTTTTTTTATTTACCACTGCAAGGTGGTGACATTATCTGTGTGATATATCGAAGAATTGAGTTGAAAAATTAGATTCTAAATAGGCATTTGAAAATTCAGTCAAATATCACCCAGTACAGAGATAATTAAACAAAAGCTTTATAAACATGTTGCAAGCAACCTAAGCTAAATGATTGTAAATAGAACAAAAATGTAGAGAATAAATCAAATATCAGTCACATTGCTAAAATCTTATGAACTTATTCAAAGTTTTCTCTGCCCCGAAGGCATCAAGGGCATAATTTAATATAGCCATTGTTGGATTTTACTCTGCTGCCTATGAAGTAGATTTATGTTCGAAGGTTGTACTTAATTATTTGCAATTAATACTCAAACTTTGACACCATAAACAAAGAGCTACATTAGGGACGAGGAACAACTCAGATGTGTCTCTGTCCCCTTCCTGCACTCCGAGTAAAGAAAACATGAGTCAATTGCATATCTTATGCTCGAATGCAAAGGACAGACTGTTTACAAACCTTAAGCTTGCTCCTTTCTGGTGAATAAACCCGGCAAACAAATCCCTCCTGTGCTTCCTTTTCTGTTATGGTAACAGAATAAAAATGAGCACATTGCTTTTCAACCTGTTAAAAGAAGAAAATGAATTTCTCGGAACAAATCATACTTAACGTGTTTGAATACTGTATACTGAAGCATAGAACAAAACCATACCTTCCTACACAAAGGTTGCCCAAGTGGAAGTAGACGAATGTTCACCTCACCATTCAATGCTTCCTCCAACACAGTGGCTGATACCGTAGTTTTGATGGGAACACCCAGTTTACTACTTGCAAGATGCAATAGTACAATTAGTTTATGAAATAGGAGCAAAAAAAAATTTATGAGAATGCATCCATGAGTGTATGCAGGAAAAGAAAAGAAGAAGAAACAGATAACAGATATTATACCAACAGACCTAAAAAGTGCAGCAAACATAGTATTGACAGCTCCAAGACTTGAAAGATCTAGTTCCAGTTCCTGGCTTTCTGATTCAACAGCCTGTCCAAAGCAATTTATTTTCAATTTTTGAACTAAATAATTCAAAATTGGTTCAATTAACTGGAGTAAATGGTAGTTTGAAACACAAGGCTGAGCACAGAAATATTCACCTCGAAACCAGCTGTGTCATATTGACGCCTTTTATCTGGATCAGACAAAATATTATAAGAGAATGTGACCTCCTTGAATATATCTGCTGCTTTCAGATCATTTGCATTCTTGTCCGGATGGTACCTACATTTTTGTAAAATAAGCATAAATAACAACCAACAATTTCATCTGTCTCATAAAACATGGCTTTTGACACATAAGGGCACAAACACACACAAGCGTGCGCGCACACACAGAGAGAGAGAGAGAGAGAGAGAGAGCAATCACAAAACACCATCCAGAAGCACAAAATAATTGAGGTGATGTTATTTTTATTATTAGCAATAGATCCCTTACAATATACTGCATATAGTCTTATATAATAGGATATAAAAGTAAAAACTGAGAGTTTTCAAAGTGAAATGGACCATTAGAAGACAAAGGACAAGGTAAAGAGAACAGAAGCAAGGCAAAGAAATAGAACACCAACTTGGCAACTTCTGGAATGAGATTCTTCCTATCATGTATTTATTCACAATGTTCATTTTGTCCAAGCAATCAACTCCAAATGTCATTTCTGGAAAACTGAAATTACTTTCAGAACTATACTTCCAACAGCTAAGATGTGTCCAACTATCAATATTCAAATAGTCTCTTTTTTTCCACAATCACAGATCTAAACAATACAACCATGGCAAGATGCAAATGAGGTGTATTTCAAACCATTCTTGAATGTTTAAGAACAAATGATTTCTGCAAGCACATTGACAGAACAAAAATGTTCTGCAGAAAATAACATCTTCTAACCTGTTCCCTTGATGCTTGAGAAAATAAAGGCCCTTAAAATGGCCTAAATTAAGATAAATAGCATACATACATAGTCTGGAATCCTGTGGATACCTGTGTAACATCAAAATTTTCAACCCTCTAAAACTAGATATTTGGCCAGAGGGGCCAAGGGATTACTCAAATGCATCAGATGGATACATTTTGCCCCTATCCTTCAACTAGCAACAATACTGTCATACATAGGTCGGCAGTACAATAGATCTTTCCTCAGGCACGTGATTCTAATATTTTAAAACTACTCCAGTAAGTTTCTTTCCACAAATTCAGCAGTCACAGATGGCTTCGTGCTCAAACAGCTAAGTACGAGTGTACTAAACTGCTAAAACTACCTAAGGAACAAGGTGTCAATCAACTGCAAATTATACAGAGGTGAGTGAATTTTGTCCTTTTT